CATTTATCTGCATCTTTTTGAAATAGCCAATTCATTAGCATTCCATGGATGCCAGTGACTAAAATTTTAACCAAAAGCATTTATAATATAAAAAAAAAAATTTTTCTGCAAAATGTTGATTAAGCTTTAAAAATTTTAAACCACAAGGAAAATGGCTAAAATTTTGTTTTTTTGAAAAAACAAAATCAATGGCAAAATGGAAAGGCCATGGATCAAAAAATAGAATGCTGAAGAAAGTTTTTTAACGCCAATGTCCAAGAAAATTTTCCCTTCTTAATAATCTATCTACACATTTATAAGTCTACCATTTATTCCATGTTTGGATATTGTTGCAAGAATGGTTAGAAAAAAAACAAGGCTGAATGCTATATATTTAGAAATTTTCATTTAATTTTCCAAAGAAGAATCTCTTTATTATGTACCCATTCCTGACTTTTCCCTCTACAGAAGTTTGAGGCCACTATTGAGCAACTTTCATATAACAATTCATTGGTATTGGGCATTGGTAAACAAATTTAGACCCCCACAAGGCTAGTGGTGGAGATGGCATATATTGCCATAAAAGGTCTTGAAGAAATGTTGCCTGAACTGGTATTATGCCCAAATATAAATTATAAACTAACTGCCTCAAGGAATCTTGTTTTCATGACTATATTGAAGTCCTCATCCATTGTTCCTGATCTTTAAAAAATTTAAATGACCAATCTCATCGTCTAATTAATTTCCTATTAGTCTTATACCCCTTTCATTATTAATGTTTTTTTTTTCTAATCAATCTCAAAGTGGTTAACCACCTTACATCCCATGATCTGCTTTCAGACAAGCAAAATCATTAAAAAAATTTGTTGAATTTATTTTACAGCTGATGTCCAATTAAGCCATCACTTGAAATTGTCTACCAAGCATCTCGAAAATAAACTTGAAGCTCAATGCACTACAGTGACTGTTAGATATATTATTAAATCGTTTTTTAGGGTTTGGCTATGACATCCTTAGCAAAATTCTCCAGGGTTATGGCTATTACAGGTCGATTGTTGACTGAATACAATCATTCCTGTCAAACCGTGAATTGAATTCGTTCTCAACGGATTCTCCTCCATTTCCTATCCAATGAAAAAAGGTGTTCCCCAACAACTCCATCCTATTGAATGTTACTCTATTCTTATATTTCATCAATTATCTTCCTGACGCCATATATTCCCAAGTAGGCATCTACGCGGATGACACCACAATTTATTCCTGCCAAAAAAACAAATCTAGTTTTACTGACAAAACTAACCTGGCCGTGCGTCTTGAAAAAGGACCTCCAATCGGTTGTGAACTGGGGCAGGAATTGGCTGGTCAACTTTAATGCTTCAAAAAACAAAACTGCTCTCTATTAATCACCACAGAGATCCTTCCCTGCCCTCCATTAGAATGTCTGACGCTCAACTTCTTGAGAGCAACTCTCTGCGTCTGCTCGGTCTCATGTTGACTGCTGACCTGAGATGGAACAAATACATTGAGTCAATTGCTTTTGTCCACCGCAAGGAAAGTTGGCTCCCTGTGCCGCGCCAGGAAATTTTTTCTCCCCGGAATCGATCCTTCAAATATACAAATCAACCATTCGCCCTTGCATGGAGTATTGCTGCCATATATGGTCTGGAGCCCCTTCTGTTTTGCCTCGGGGTTCTTGATAAGATCCAGAGACGGATATGCAATATAATTGGCCCTGATCTGGCATCTCGTCTACAGTCGCTCTCTCTCACAGACGTGCCGTCGCCTCTCTCTGTCTTTTTTACAAATACTTTCATGGTAATTGCTCCGATGAGCTGCTTTCGCTGGTTCCCAGACTTCATGAATTCAAGCGCCCTACGAGGCTGGCATCCCCTCTCCCCTTTTTCACTGTCGAAACTTTTAAATGTAGCCGTCTCTTCTACTCCAATAGCTTCATATCTCGCAGCTCTCGCCTGTGGAACTCACTTCCCTCTTCCAGTTTCCCTGTGAACTATAATCTCCAACTTTTCAAATGCGATGTCAAACTACATCTCCAGTTGACTTGATCTATCCACTATCCTTCTCCTCATCCTTTCTTCAATCACTCCTATCTGATCTTGCTCCAAATTTTCTGTAACCCCTTGCATCCTAGTGGCTTCCCGCCTTGCTTGGGGTGAAATGCTTAAAAAAAAAAAAAAAAATCAAAAAAATAAATACAAAATACACACACACACACATTACACTACACAAACCATATATATAATAACACTTTTAAAACATTCAAAGATATATAAATTTTACGATTAAAGAAAAATATGATAATATTTTGATTTATATGTTGATATGGTATAAAATATGAATCAAAATATATATATATATACAAATATGAATATATATATTATAAATATATATATATTATATATAACAACGTAAATTTCAATATATATATATATATGTATATATATATATATATAAAGTTAAAAAAAACATCAATAACATAATAAATTATTTTAATATATATAAATATATATATATATATATATATATATATATATATATATATATATAAAATATACAAATATATATAAAAAATTCAAGAAAATAGGAATCCAGGTATTATGAATGTCCAGGTACAGAATAAGAATATTTATAAAAAGTAATTTTAAACATTTTATTTCATGTTTTATAATTTATTAACTTTCAAAATTAAAATGATCAATTCATCAGATTTGTTAATTCAAAAAGAAATCAGAAAAAAACATGGGAATAAAAAAACAATCGATACTGTTTTAGAATGCATATCTATAGAGATTGGGGAATGACAAAGAGAAAAAAAAATGAAAAGAAATTAACAGACAAAATCTTTGGAAAAGGAAGGCCCATCTCCTTGATTTTATTTAAAAATATTTTAAAAAGAAGAAAGTTAAAGATTTTTAAACATTGAGATAAAGGATATTTGAATTGAATTTTTTTCCATTTTGCATATTTCATTCCCAATTTTTCTTGACCTAAAATTCATTTAAGTTATTTAGAACATTGCCTATTTTTGTTTTCAGGTGAATTTGATAGAAACAAAAAAAAGTTTAAATTTAAAATCAAAAGATGAATGAAAAGAAGATAAAAAAAAATGGCAAAGATGACAAAAAGGAAGTTAAAACTGATGAAAATGAAATTTAAAAAAATTAAATTGATTAAAATCAAGAAAACCTTGTTTAAAAGTAATATGACCTACAGGATTTACAAATTTAATATAAACATAAAAAAATATGGAATATTTAATCTAGCAAGGATGAACTTTTTCTATCATTTGAAAACAGTAGCGTATTATATACACATTTACAACATTTTCTATATCTACAGAAAATTTTTGAATATTTGAAAAATATTTTTGTTTTTAAATAAACATAATGTTTGCAAAACTAAAAAATAAAAGAAGCTATAAATACATAAATTTTGAAACCTAACCTAAACAAAATAAACTATGAAATTATCCATAAATAATTCTTAAATGTTTATAATTGTATAAGGGAAGCCAGGAATTTTAACCAAACATATTTCATAATGAATACTTTTAATTTTTTCACTCTAAAATTAGAATATTTTGTCACATCATAGAAGCTGTTATAAAGTACAATTTAAATCAAAAAAGATTTTTAAGGAAGAGTTTTATGTTTGATATCTCTTAAATTTTAAAATAAATGCAAAAAAAACAGACTGTCATTATTTTTGTCCGAAATTATTTGATATATTAAAATGTAAATGTCTGAAAAAAAATAAATAATTTCAAAAAAACTTAGAAATGGATTAAAATTTTTTTATATTTTATCCTTAAAATGAATTGCTTTCAATGATAATCATATTATATTTTATCAACAATATAAATTTAAAACTTAAAATAAATATGACAAATATTTGTCTATATTATTTAAGTGAAATGGATTATAAATTTCAAGAATATTTATATATATATATAATATTCACATAGAACATGGAAGAAATAAAAATATACACAATGTGCAATTTAAAAAGACAACATAATAAATGTACTAATCATATTCATAGAAGATCTTATAAGATAATAAAAAAAAAACATTAAACTTTCCTTAACATTTTATTTATTCCAAAAATTACTACCCCTATAGTAAGTTAAACGAATAACTATGTTTACAGCTAACATTGAATTTTCATTCCTTTAATTTTTTTTTTTTTTATTTTTTGTGGAAATCTATTTCCTGTTTTGATCATGTTTTTGCAAATATTTATATAAAAATATCAAATGTTCGTATATATTATAATCTGATTGTATACAATATTGTCTATAAATGTTTTTCCCCACTTGCCTATATAATCACTTTTGCTCTTTAAATAAGCAAAATAAAAAAGATTTAAAGCAAATAATAATTTTAGCATTTATTCTAACTGAATAAAAACAAAATAATTAACAAAACATATATTTTTTTCTGTTTAATTTTAAATAATTTTATAATTGTTTAAACTTAACACATACAATTAGATTTAAAATTGGTAATTTTTAATTTTATAAAAATTGCAATATTGATTCTGATAGAATGATGACCACATTTTAGTCTCAAAACATTAAAGATCAATTATGAAAATAACCAAGTTTCAGTGTCATTTTTTTGAATTCTCATATACTTGTTTTTTTTTAATTTTCATTGCAGGACAATGTAACAGTGGATAAATAAAGGTGTTTGATTGATCATTGAAGAACCTTTTAAAACTAATTTACTCTACATTCAAGTGCATCACTTGATAAGACACAGAATGTTGAAACAGAATGGGTATTTTTTGTAGTGATTTTATAACATATTCCAATGTAATTATTTTTAAATTAATTTCCAACCATTGAAGAATTTATTGAGCACTTTTTATAAAATAGATATATATATATATATATATATATATATATATAATTGTTAACAAGTTCTATTTCATTTTAAAAAATTGTATTTTAGTTCATATTGTGACATATTGAATGTATTTGGTTCTTTTTTATTTTGTAGTTACATGTGATTGAATTGGAAAATTTATTAAAAAAATGAAAAATTTAAAATAAAAATTATTAAAAAGATTGCAACTGAGCGTTACCAATTCAGGAAAAGTGAAGGATAGACCAAATTTACCAGGTATTTTTTTTTTTTTTTTTTTTTTTTTTTTCTCTGTTTAGATTTTTTATTTTATATAGTTGGGAAATACAGCCAACCATTGCTGATATCTATAAAATCTCATATAACATGATCCTGGAAATTTTTAAAAATAAATAAAAACAGCATCAAGGAACGACAATGACAAATGATAAAAAAAGTGAATTACCTTGGTGTCGATTTAAATAAAACTGAAAGATCGAGACGGCCATTAAAAGTGAAATGCAGTTTATTCAGAAATTCACTATCTTGCATGCAGACATACAATGAAAAAAAGACTAAGAATTCAAAGCAGCTTGAATTTATAAAATATATATATATCATGTGAATGATAATTAAGTGCCATATATAAATTCACATGCAGAAAAATTTGTGACAGATGGACAAGAATGAGAGAATAACTAAGAGGAAAAAACTTGACAATAGCTCAGTTGGTAAGTGGAGGACACCAATAAAAGCAAGCACCTTAATCCATTTCAGCTTATCACATAAATGAGTGGCGAAATAAAGTTAACCACAACATAATTTCTATAAATAACATTTTATACAAAATCTATATTTATATAGATATATAAATTTACCTTAAATATTTTAGAATTAACTGCAAAAGCAGCTGGTTCATATTAATTGATTAAATGTTGTAACAGGACATTTTATAAAAGAAAGAAAAAAATTTAGAGTCACTTTACTTGGCTATAGAAGTGTGTTAAGAATCTTCACAATAACATTATTCAGTAGATTAAAATAACTTATTAATTTATAAGGAGAGAAAATAAGTTCTAGAAAATAATGATAAAAAAATTAAAGCATCAATTTTGAGTGGAGATATTTTGTTAATTTCCATAAAGAATATATATTTATTGAAACACTTGCATTTAAGTATTGCAGTAATATTAATCTTATCTTTTAAAAGTTCAATGATAATTCTTCTGCTGCCACTTAATTTAAAGACAATTTAATGTACAAGCATTTATTTTTATTTCATGAGTGACTTTCGATGGATTTCACAGTAAATTTTGATTATTCCCAAATTTCCAGGTTACAAAAAGTGTTATCGCACAAAATATTCATCACAAAAAATCATGTAAAAAAATTGCCAAAAACAATCATGATAATGAAAATTTGGGAATCCCAAATTTTAGGATTGCATGTCCAGATCTGTCCCGGAATGTTGTTAATTTGCTCATGGAGTCAGCCTGATTCCAAAATAGTATATATTAGGCTACTATAAGTCTTGTGTGTTTGCACACAATCTTCAGGCAGCCAGTGGCTGTAGTAGTAAGGTGAGTACCCTGTATACCACCAAGCAAGTTCAGTTTGACAGCCAAACCAAACTTGCACAATGGGGAGGGTAAATCATTCAGCCAAGATCTAAAATGGCTGTTAAAAAAAGTTTCCACCAGGAAAGGTTTGCCAGTATGTCAAAAAGTGCCCAATAACAAGTGAAACTAGTGTCACGATACAGGAGCTGAAGACTAAAAAAGTGCTCAACAGGACTGGACTATCAAATTCACATTAGAGCATATATAAATATAGGAAAGAATGAGCAGCTCTGAAAGAGCCTGCCCAAAAGTAGCCTACTGGCATAAAAGTGCTCATTGCCATAAGAAATAGCATATCTACTCACTTTCCTGAGTTATATATGCTCTAACATGAGTTTTGTTGTCCGGTCCTGTTGAGCATTTTCTTTGGCTTAGGCTTCAGCTCCTATGATGCTAGTTTCACTTGTTATTGAGCGCTTCATAGATGAAAATTTCAAACAGGTACTAGGTGTTATCTGATTGCATCTTCTTAATCTACATGATTAAAGAAAATTAGCAGTTTTTATTTCATCAAAATATCTCAAACCGTTTAATTTTGGCAGATTTATTTTTATTTTTACACGTGCTCTATTATGAATTAGGACAAAATACCATATTTGGACTCCTATATTTTAAAAAGCAATTAAGAACAACAGTTAAAATTATACTAGCTTGTTAGGTACATAACAAAGAAATTAATAATAAAATTAGATAGTATCACTGCATATTTCTTAAATAAATTCAGTGTGAATATGCAAATTTTATAAATCAACCTCTGCAACAACAAGCAAACAACTCATAACCTGAGGTTTGACATTTCATAAAACTGGAAATAAGACCCACATTCATCCCAAATTTCAAATATCATATTATGACTATACCAGTAACATGCCTAATTTTGTGGGGAGTGATAGAATGGATATATTCTGGATTATTCCACTTCAAAATTGAAAAAAATTGCTTTTTAACCCTTTGTCACAAGGTATTTGAAAGGCTGATTTTAGACTTGCTTGAATTGTGTCATAAAATGAAAACTTCTTACACTAGAAACACCAAATTTCATATCTAGCCATTTCTGGGGGTGCTCTTCCCATTTATCATGGTTAAAATGACCTAAAATCAACAGATTATAATGTATATGGAGCAGATTTTGAACAAGTACAGTCCTGACTCAACATGTACAATTTCTGGACTGTAGAGAGAAAGAAGCTTAACATATGCCAAGCAATACCCACTAATGAACACAAGAAAACAACAGAAAACTCACCTTATCATGAAGTGGTATTCAACCACTAAATTTGTAACTGAAATCATTAAAATAAAAATATTTTATCTGTCACAATTTGATCAAAAGGTTGAAGTTCTGACACATGTTAGTTCTGATCACTACGTAAACGGTATGAAATCACCAAATTGTCTCAATTTTTAAACTGTAATGTTCCTCTCACATTATGCACATAAAAATAAATAACACAGACATAAAATTAATCAAATAAAGTTTATTTGGAAATTTTCAGTAATGGTGGGCTGGGTGTTGGGATACCTCTTCACTGAGTAGTCAAAAATAAGTCTCGGCATAATCTTCATACAATCCTTCCAAATAATCTAATTCAGGCACTACCCAAGTTCTTCTAGTCTGACTAGTATATCTTTGCTGGTGTATCCAGTTTATATAGTTCAAGTATGAGCCCATCTGTTACATCTGCACATAAAAGCTTACGACCCAGCGTTGAATCCGACAAAATACTGAGAGTCAATCCAACACTCTCACATCTTTCACCTATGAATCCCAAATTTGTTACCTCATAGTACAAGCAGGACAATCCGCTTTTTGAAAACTGAACTTCTGCTACAACTTTCTCAATAAGGTGTACCCATGTGTTCTTAGGAAAGATTGGGAACAATTTATGTAGCCAAGTAATAGCAGAATCCCAGGTTTCCTGATACTTCTCTTTCAATAAATATATTTGAAGCAGCACCTTCTTGGAACATTCCACTTTAGGCAAAGACATTTTCCTTCCACGTTGTGACACCCAGCCGTCAGCCCATGGTCAACTCTCAGTCATGGTGCGAAACTGTAATGTTTCTTCTACCGGCAATTTTGGGGTTGACTCTTTGTCGCCGCCACCAGGCTGTGTCCTGGTCGATCGGTGGTCATCACTACTCGGCGAAATCCCCTGGTCAGGATACCAATATGGGACACTGACCTGTCCAGGGTCGAATTCTGGTTGTCGATGTTAACAGCTTCACCAGCTGTACTGGTTCAATACCAGCTCTATCCTTCCCAGCTCACTTGCAACGTCTGGTTACTGGAGTAACTGCTTCGATCTCAAGTCTAACCTACCCACGTTGTGACTTTGATCTTAGGTAGACGAGATCAATCAGGCGTCGGGCCGTATTGACCATTTAACTGATTGGACATTTATTAACAATCATCTTGTTCAAATCAATTTGCTTAAAAGATGCTATAGCAAATTATTTCATTCTAATTAAAAAGTAAATAGATTTATCAAAGAACATATATAGTTATCTTTTTCTTTCTTTCCAATTTTACTTTAATCATGTTGTATGAAAAATTGATTTTTTTTATATTGTATAACTATTATTTGAACTGTATTCTCATCCAGTAGTTCAAATTTCACATTTACTAGTCTCAGATTGGGAAGCTGATATATCAATTAGGGAAATATTTTGATTTTTAGCTTTTGAATAAGTGTATTGTTAAAGTAAACAGTCTACAAATTGAAATTACAATTTTTTCATAAAAATATTTTTAAGCTTATAACATATCAATTTTATGGATTAATTATTTAAATTACAAAAAATTGAATTAATTTGATGTTTCCTTTTAATTTAATTTGTTTTTACCAAAGGTAAAAACAAATTACCAACTAAACTAATTTCAATTTATTTTCATATGCATCAGCTATTTTTTTTGTCAAAAAGTAATATATTTAAAAAAAATTTTTTTGACTGACTTCATTATTACAGTATACTCCACATTTACTCTCTCTATTCTTCCTGAAAATTAGCTTTTAAAGAGAAATTATCTTGACTATCCCTAAAAGTTATAACACCTTTTTTTATATAAGAATTTATATCAAACTCATTTATGCAAAATAGACACCTCTTCTTAATTTAAAAATTTATCTTTTGTTCTTCTTTCCACTCATTGACTTTCTTAAGTCTTCATTCTTACCAATAATATCCTTTCTGATTCCATCACAATTTGCTCTTTTTAAGACCAACTTGTTTCTTCATCATGGCCATCATTCCTTTATTTCACAGCAGGTACTTGATGCTGTACACAAAGTGGACCCACTGAACACAGAGCAGGTACAACAAAACTCCAATCCTTTAACAGCCATAACAACCACTCTCCTTGCATTGCACATATCTCCTTTGCCTGGCTAAAAAATAGCTGTTTTAGGATATATATATATATATATATATATATATATATATATATATATATATATATGTGTGTATATATATATATATATATATATATATATATATATATATATATATATATTTTGTTTTTAGATTTGTTTATCCTTATATACATTTCATTCCCTGCAAAATTCAGCTTTGGCTCAATTAATTTGGGACCTTGCTGCTAATTGACTTGCATGTAACTGATCAAATGGCTAAATTTAATTTCTTTTGGTGTTGTTAAGTTCTGGTTGCTATCATCATCTTAATCAGTATTCCTTTTCAATTGAGTATTATAATTCTCTATTCCCCCACCCCTACTCTATAAATGTTGTAGTTCCTTTACTGCAGCATGTGCAGATTTGCAGTGCAGGTTTTTTGTCTATATTTTTTTTTTTTTTTAAATTACTTGTTACTGTTCATTTGATGTAAAATGCAACATTTTATTTAACTCTGGTATTCTCTTTCATCAGTTGTGTTACTTTACATATCTGCGAGAGATTTTCATAAATCTCTTTTGGTTAAAGGAAAGAAAAGGGCACATTGTAGGTGCTGTGATTGTTCATTCTCTGACTAGTTATGTTAGCATAACCAAGTATGAGCAAACTTTAATATTCATTAGCATTCATATTTATTTTATTATAAAAATTGGATGTGATACACCATAACAAAACTCTAACTCTGATGAGGTATTTTCTTTAAAGCAAATATTTTTTATATATAAACTTCTGGACCTTTTCGGGCGACGTTATAGGATCCAGACGACTATTGTTTGCACATGGAATTATTTACTAGTGATTAATCTTCGATTTGGCTGTGGAAAATGTCACTCGGTGGTTAACATTAAGAAATTATGCCCAATTTTCTGAGAAAAATCACCGTATTTTATGAAAAAATATTTATTTTCGCTTCAAAATATCATTCAAACTTCATCCCTTTCTCTTTCATTTGGCATGAACATCATTGAATAAAAGGAACGGCGAAATGGCCCAGCGATTGGAAATACGAAAGATATGCAGAAAAAAAAAAGACAATGTTGTCTGCTAAGTGTTGTTGTCATCGCCTGGGTCACAGGGTGTTAAAAGCAAAACAAGGCACATCAAGCCATTGTTCAAACATAGGTTATATCAAGCCCTACTAATGTTGACCCTTTTTTCACTCTTTGCTCTTATCTGGGAGTGGTGGGTTTTATTACAACTTGTTCTAACTGTTTATTGCTGGCTGGCTGGCTGGCCTTTGACCCAGATATGTCAAAGTCAATTTGGTTTAATTTTCCTTATCGCTGCTATTTTTTAGAAAAGAAAAAAAAAAAAAACTTTTGGTTTCTGGTGGTCAGGAATTGCAGATAAATCTTTCACCTTTTACTAAAGATTTCCATGGCCGGGTCTCAGTTTTTTTTAACCCCCGGCAGTCATATAATTGAAAATTACCAATGAACTTTGTCACATTTTAACCCCCTAGGAATGTTGATTTCCTTCAAAACACTCAATTTTATGTATGAAATAGTTTGATTATGATTTAGGCTTTCTGATTTTCAAAACAAATGGTTAATTTCCCATTAATGGGGAAAATTTTTGTTTAGAAGTAGAAAAAATGCAAAATTTTCATTAATTTTTCACGTTTTACCCCCTGAAAAAAATTTGAGTCATTTACACCAGCCAATTTTACTTTTAAATGAAAGAATATATTCTTTGCTTTCAGAAAATACCTAGTTTCATGGGGTTCAGATCAAAAGTTTCCTTGATATTTGTTTAGATGATGATAAAACAGTCATTTTTCAATATTTTACCCCTATAAATGTATGAAAATCCATTTTTTTCAGAGAAAATAAGCTGTGACAAAATGACTTTTGCAATTTTTGTGATGATTTTTACTTGGGCTAGAAAATTTTTACCATAGCAAACATGAATTGACTATTTAAGTTCAGTGGGGCTATAGGAAACCTCAAACAGCTGTAATATACGTGTGTGTGATATTTAGAAAAATACTTTGCTATAAAATTTTTTTACATTCAACTTTGCATTATTTTTCCTTGTATAAGGGAGTGCTGAAAAGTTCTTAGCTAACCAAGATGTGATTAAGAGAAAATTCTGATGTATTTTCATTTGGCTTCATTTTAGAAAGTGAGTCAGGCCAAGAATTTTCAGCACTCAATTCGTATTGTAATTGCTAAGATGTTAAATTTCTTTTAAACTAGTTAAATTTAAGCTATGCAAATGAAATAGCACATGATTTCTTAATCTATTTTTCATAAGACATTCAGATTTTATCAATGATTTCATAAAAGCTTTTTTTTTTTATTATTTATTTACATTATTTATATTCAAAAAATGTCCTCTTCTTTATTGCTATCATGATGTTTCAACCGTTGCACCCTCTGGCCTTTTTTTAGGTGTCTGTCAGTTTGGGTAACTTTCAAGGAATTTTAAACTGAGAAATTTATTCAATCTACAGATAGATTGTTCTCATTCTGCTATAGACTTAATTTCAATTGCTTGTTAGCCCACTTAGACTGTTATTCTTTGGTGGTTAAGAAGCAAAACAGTTTTTCTCTAAAAAAATCTAAATTTTCAACTACCTTAACAGACAGAATAGCTGGACAGTTGTTATAGAAAACCCCTGAAATTAATATGAATGAAATACTAAATGAAAATTTAACAGTGCCTCATCTGAGAAATGTAAAAATGCCATTTATCCACTAGTAGACTGCGTAGTTAAGGAATAAAAAGGCAACATGTAAGGTAGTCAGTAAAGTGGGGTAAGTAAGTGTGTACTTGGTTTCCCTGGCTTAATTGTTAAAGCAACTGTCATATTAAGACAAACTTCTTGAGGTAAAAATGATGAAACTTTGAATTTCACCAGAGAATTATATATTTCTAATCTGTGTGGCTTACTAATGGTTGTATAACAATCTGGGAGATGTAATGAAAAGTGACTAAAATTAAGATGAAGGTAATATTAATGAAAAAGTGAGAATTGATTGCATATTATATTAAGTATCAAGTAATAATAACAAAAACTTTATACTTTTTAAGTATTGATTACATAGCATCATTATTAGCAGTTTTAAGATTTTTAAAGCTTTTTAATTAGTTACCAGTGCCATGCTTTTTAATATTAAAATATATTTTAATATTGCTGCCTCAATGTTTGTTTTTTAGTTCTTTACTAAGAATACTGACAAGTTTTTTGTTATTAAAATTAGATTTAACTTGATAAATTTTTTTTTTGTTTATTTGAAAAGAGAAATTAATCTTTATTTTTAATTGTGTAAGAATAAAAATTAAACTGCTTATGTCAGCATGGCTGGTACTTTCCCAGAAATACTACCTGAACTGATTCTGTTTCATATTTTTTATTTTGAATGTTTTAACTTTTTCCATCACTCTTTCAGGAACCTGGAATTTATTTTTGAATTAAATTTTTTCTTTTACCTTTTTTTATCTGTTTATATTGGTGAGGCCACTTGTTTTCAGTTATAATTTTTAAAGCATGTATAAACTTTAAGTAAAACACTTACTTGAAAACAATATTTTTACATTTTAATTTTTTGATTGTATAATCTGATACTTAATGCAGAAAAAAAATGGATATTGCTATAAAGTTGGAAAATAAAGTTATTTTATTTCTTGGTGATTATCTTTGATTTTTTTCATGCTCCTCTAATTTTATTTTTAAAGTGTATATAAAAATTGGTATAAGAAATATCTTTTCCCTCTAATCAAATCCCGCTATCATTTTGGACAAAACTATCTTTTTTTTTTGTTTTACTTTCATTGCTATTCAGTGGTTCAAGTTGTGTGAGGGTGATGAATCAAGTTTCAAGGAGAAGTCAGGCAGTCAACCAAACACAGAGTCATGGGAGTCCTACTAATAATCTGTGCAACATTAAGCACTACTCCTGCTACCATTTCTACTTCTACTACTACTCATACTATTTTTCCTACTACATTATATACTGTGTGGTAAGTGGGGTGTTTACCCTGCCCATCATTGCCTCCTTTGCCAACAACTTGATTGCTTAAATTGACTGATGAACTGGAGTTATGGGACCTTAACATTCATTTTGTTCTTGCAGGGACTTAAATCATATAACCCTGTTCAGTTATTTTTCTGTCCTTTTTTATTTTTATTTATTTATTTTTTTCTGTTTTTGGAATGCTGTGCTGCAGATCTGTGGCTTTGACCCTTCAGGTTGTCAATGTTTTCTCAACCTCTCAACTTTATTCTCCTTCATACTCTTTATTCCTGTTATTATCACTAATTTGGTAACTGTTGCTTTGCTGGCAGCATGATGATCAAATTTTAAAATTCTATTTATTACCAGATAATTTCCAAATAATTCAATAAAAACTTTTTATTATCTAATTTTTTTAAGGATTTTAATGAAATAACTTTGTGTGTGTGTGCCTCCAAATTTATGATATTATTGCTCATCCCAGGGTAGGAGTTGTCTAAACTGAGCACCTGGGAAATGTATTATTCTAATGTCTTATTTGAAATTAGTCAAATTGTGTGTGCACAAGCCCATAGAAATCACTCATGTACAATATACATACACATGCATGTGTACACAGGCAGACAGTGTATGATGGAATTGGCTCTTTTATGATATAGACAAATGTGTATTGGAGGCTTTATCTAATCTGGCAATACACATTCAAAATATCTTTTTTCTTGACTTTATTAATACTTTCTGTTGTAACCTAGAAAAGGTGACTGAATGAGGAATAACCAAAAACTGAGGTTAGAAATGAAATGGTAACCTTAATAACATCAACAAAATACAATACTCGCCAGTGGCAGAAGCAGGTAAACTACTGCTAGTAGTGGACAGTATATTACCCCCATTTACAATAGTGTCCAACGTATTTATGTGGATTGGGACATACCCATTAGTG